CCTGGCTTCAGATCAGCTCAGCTCTGGCCATTGCCACCATTTGGGGCATGAACCAGCGGATGAAAGATTTTTGTCTCTGTCTTTGCTTTTCTACTTGTAAACCTGTCTCAATAAAATAAAATGAATCTCAAATAAAATGAATAAATCTTTTTTAAAAACATCCAAGAGCGGCCACATGCCTAGTTCCTCATAGTGTCACGGTTTCCTCCTCCTCTGTTGTTGGGTCAGGGGAGCACCTCACGGGACCCCACCTAGCATGTCTGTGTGTGCAGGCAAGGCCCCGCTCTCAGGTGTAGCAGCAGCACAGGGCACTGTGCCTGTGTGGGGCAGTGGTGAGTTCCAGGGGACGGGGAGACAAGAGGGGTCCTGCAGCTTGAGCTGCGAGGGCAAGCAGACAGCCAGCTTTACACTCAACCTGAGTCCCAGGCGGCCTGGGTGGCGGCCTAGCCACGTGACCTGGGGACACGCTGGCGAGTGTCTGCGTCATCAAATGAGACTAATGAGGTGGCTGTCAGCAGCCAGGCAGGGGGTTAGAGCTCACAGGCGGGGTGGGCACGGGAGGCCCTGCTGGCCAGGGTGCAATCTGAGTGTGTGTATGAGTGTATGTGCTGTGAGTGGGAGTGTTTACAGAGGCGGAGGTGCAGGAGAGACCTCTGTGGGCGACACTGTCAGACACGCGTGTTTGCATGTGTCCCCGCTATGGAGGGGTGAAGAGCATACCCTGGTGTGACTACATGTGCATGAGCAGCATGGGGCTGGAGCCAAGGGGCCCGGCTGGGCCGAGAGGGCATTGTGGCTCTCAGTCCTGCCAGTGGGTGGGGGTGCCCCTGCTCCCCTACCAGGCCTGCCAAAATACAGCGAGACAGGGTGTAATTACGGGCACTTACCGCGGCCATTACCCCCGTTGCCGCTGCATGTGACACACGGCCCGTCAGCGCAGCGCTCCAACCATTAAGGGGCCTCATTAGCATCCCGGCTCAGAAGCAAAATTACCCTCACTGCTCATTTCAAGATGTCATCAATTTTAATTTAGGGCCCAAAGATAGTAAAATGGGAAGGCCCTCCCTGGCCTGCCGCACACAGAGAGGAGAGACTGGGGGGTGGGGAGCCAGGGCCCGGCAGCAGGCGGGGTGGAGGCAGGCACAGAGGCAGAAGAGGGGCCTGGGCAGCGGGAATCAGAAAGTAGGGCCATGCCAAGCAGGGAGGGAAATGCTGGTCTCTTTGACAGAGATGGGGCCCTCCCTAGGCACCGCTCTGGGAAGAGAAAAGGAACTGAGGGCACAGCTGGGAACAGGGCCCCAATGCACCTGCTCCAGGGCCGGTAGGATCTGAGCTGCCAGGAAGGAGTCACGTGGCAGGGCCTGGGTTTTGCCTGGGTGACTCCTTCAATTTCCACAGCAATCTTGGGAGGCGGGCTCTCCCTACAGGTGGGGAAACTGAGGCAGGAGGCAACTCCATCATACTGTGAACCACGGTTGAGCCGCGATTAAGCTCAGATCTTGGCACAGTAGTAAGAGCCTGCTTGGGATGCCCACAGCCTGTCTCAGAGGATCTGGATTCGAATCAGTTCTTCAATGCCAATCCCGGCTTCCCTCTGACGTGCACCCTGGGGTGCAGTTCAAGTACTTGGTCCCTGCCACCCACATGGGAAACCTGGATGGAATTTCGAGCTCGTGGCTCTGGCCTGCCCTTCTGGGGGTGAATCAGCACAGCAACATCTCTCCTTTCACTCTGTGTCTCTGCTATTCGATAAATAAAAATGACATCAAAGTGTTTTCAATAATTAAGTGCTGGCCTGTTTGACTCTGCTGGCCCAGACCTGGGGTCTCCTGGAACCCTGTTCCAGTGAGCAGGCCCAGGCCTGCAGGCAGGAGCAGAGGGGGCCGGCCCCTGCCACCAGGCCGCGTATCCTCACTGCCATTTCTAGGGCACCCGCGTGTCTGCAGGTGCCGCCTTTGGGCTTTCATGTCTGGGACAGACCACTCCTCCGCCTGGCAGCGTGGCCCCCCACAGGCTACCTTGCAGGAGCGAGTATACTGCAAATGACTGTTGAATGAATATTCAACTGAATGTGAGAGGACTTCAAAATTCATGCAAAAAAAATGGACTGGGAAAGGTATATTTATTTTGGTGCGGAAAAAAATTGAAATCAATGCATATGAGGGGTCTTCTGGGAAGTTCATGGAACATGCATAGTATGAAAAAACCATAGATTGCATTTTTTTGTAACAAAAGAAAGATATCTTTTAAAACCATTTGTTTTACTTATGTGGAAAGGGAAAATCAGATTTACAGAGAGGATAACGACAGAAAAATGTATCTGCTCCTTCACTCCCCAACTGGCCACAACGGCTGGAGCCGAGCTGATCCGAAGCCAGGAACCAGAAGCCTCTTCCAGGTCTCCCACATGGGTCACGGTCCCAAGGCTTTGGGTGGTCCTCGACTGCTTTCCCGGGCCACAAGCAGGGCCTGGGAAAGCAGGACCTGGATGGGAAGTGGAGCAGCCAGGACATGAACCAGCAACCATCTAGGATCCTGCTGCTTGAGGATTTAGCCACTGAGTCATTGTGCTGGGCTCAAGAAAGGCATAATTTAATCTATTCTTACATGAACTTTCCGAAGTCCCCTCATACACCAACAAAGGAATGAACAAGGAAGTGCAAAGACCTGGGGGGTTCTGACTCCGCATGCAGCCGCACTCCTGGATCCAGCCAGCCCTGCCACCCTGGAGACTGTCGTGCCTCTCTGGGTGAGGCCATAGTTCCTGTGCCAGCTCAGCAGACCCCTGTGGTCTAAGACATGGTGACCCAGCAGCAGGAGGAAGGGCGAGGCCTGGGAGGAAGGGAAGGCCCCTCTAGCTCCCTGCCCCTCTGCCAGGGTGAGAGAGGAGAGACCCCCGACCCAAGCCTTGCGACCCAGCGGCTGGTGCTGCCTCCTGGCCTCGCAGAAGATGGATCACTCGCTTAATCACTCAGGAAAAGAACCCCAAGCCGATATAATATTATAATTAATTAATTCACTAAAAAGGTATTAAATTTCTCTCCCCCCTGTGGATATTATCTGAATTCATTGACCTTTAGAAAAATCACCCTCTAATTGTAACCAGGTCCAAAAGCATTTGCAGCCCGTCTCTTTTACATTAATAATATCTTCCCGGACTCGGTGCTGGCTGCTTAAATATTGTATAAATTCCACTGCCCCCCCTTGGAAAAGGGAAAGCAAAGAAAAAAGATGAGGCCAGAGGAGCCTGGCGGAGAGGGATGGGGCTGGACCCCGAGCGGGGGGTGGACAGAGGGGCGGGCAGCTGTAGCTGAGCAGCGGGCCGGGGTGGGTGGCGGAGAGCAGGTGCACAGCAGGGGCCGCGTGTCTAGGGAAGGGACCAGCAGCAGAATGCAGGTTCTTATCAGCCTCATTGGCGGGTCACCCAAGGAAAGAATCCTTCCTTGACTTTGCAGACCTGTGGATGACGGGCAAGTCCGCGTGGGGGTGCTCCTGGGTCCTGCTCGCTGATGCAGGAGAGCAGGTGCTTCCCGGAGCCAAGGCGCGGGCCCTGGTTGGCTGGGGGCAGGCAGGGACAGGAGCTGGAGCTGAGGACACACGGGACCCTCTGCTTCCTGCCCCCTCTCCCGGCATCCATGGTAGCTGCTGCTTGAGGGCTCCCATGGGACCTGCTACCTAGCTGGGACCCCAAATTCGGACCCCTCTCCCATGTGACACTTCGGTTATGCCTCGGAGGGGCTTCCAGGCCCGTCCACTCTCCCATGGATGTGGCAAGCTGCTTAGGACTCCTCAGCAAATAAGGCACGGGAGGCGTTCAAGGCCGCCTGCGTGCTGCTGCCAGAGGCGCGAGCGCTTCCCGGGGCCTGTCAACGTGTTGGAGGTCGCCCCCTCTCGCGGGCGCCCCCTCTCCTAACCCGCAGCTCTGTCAGGCGCCCCCCAAGCAGGGCAGAAGGCCGCTGGGCCCCCAACCCCGCGGCAAGCGGCGAGCGCCCTCTGGTGGGCAGACCCTCCACCCGCGGGCGAGTCCATTGCGCCCAGGGCGCGAACGCAGCAGGTGACCCCGCTGAAGGTCCCGGGGCCACAAAGCCAATGGGCAGGGCTGGGCAGGGGCCAGCAGCGGTCTTGTCAGCCTCTGAGTGAATCCCCGGGGAGAAGGGCCAGCCCACGTGGGCAAATAGCACGGGCTTTGCCTGTAAAGACAGCCCCAGCCTGGGTCATCACCTGGTGTCCCCAGCCAGAGTCTGGGTGCTTGCCCCGAGAGGGGCGTGTCTAGGGCAGTGAGGTGGACCTGGGGTGAACTAGCAGGGAGGCTGCAGCGTTAGGGCTATCTCGGACTCCGCAAAGTCATCCAGCCTCCATCTGACCTTGAGCTTAATCCTGCAGCCCCAGCCATTCCAGGCGCGCGAAGTCCCCTCTTAATTGCGTCAGCGTTGATTTGATCTCCTTTTGCAAAGAGGAAATTGCCCTCTTAGCCATCTTCAAAAGAATTTTCTTTTAATTAGCCTCCTTCAGCCTCTCGGCCAGCGAGGGGAAAGCTGTCTTGGTCTCTAGCCGCAGAGGCTGTGGACACTGCGAGGGGAGCCAGGCAAAGCTGGACGAGCCCGTGGTTACCCTTCTCACAGTTCAACCCCACTTGTCCATCACAGGTGAGGTTCTGGGCCCCCAGAAGCTTGGCAGAGACCCCTGGGGGCTGCAGCCCGGATAGAGGATAGGAATTGCGCGGGGCCAGCAGAGGGGCGCCTTGGGAGATATCACCCCGTCACCCGCCTCCTCCGGCCCAGGCGGAGGGACGGGACAGCGAGGCCGCAGCGCCACCTCGTGGCCGCATGCAGACACAGCGCCCCCGTCCGCACGGGCGCCCCCAGCTCCCCTGGATGGGGCCCAGGCGAGGGGTGTGGGAACTGCTTACCTGTACAGCAGCCGCTGGGCGAAATCCTCCATCCCCTGCCCCACTCCCACCCCTAACCCCTAACCCCTCTCCAAAGAGACATGAGGCCGGGTACAAAGCACAGTGTTTACTAAAGGCACAAAGTGGGAGGGCGAGAGGGGACTGCTCTCCCACTCTCACCTGAGCCCCGCCCACCCTCTCCTCCAGCCACCCCCACCCTCACACCACCAGGTGGAGAGCTGTTAGCACCAAAGGGGGGGTGGGAGCCCTGCGGGGAGGAGGGCAGTGGGCAGGGGTCGGTTTGGCCGCAGGCTGGGCCCCGGAAAGGACCCCCGGTGGCCTCAGAAAGCAGCTTCCAGAACCCACCATGGCTGTTGTCCTTCCCCGGGATAGGGGAACGGCCCACTGTCCCCTCCATGTGCCCTCTCCTGTTCCCACCCAGCTCCATGGGGATATGGAGGGGTGCACAGAGCCAGGCTGGGTGTGTGTGGGGGGGTCTGCTCCTCACCCCACAGGCTGCCAGGCAGGCACTAAGTCCAAACAAGGAGCCAACAGGGAGGCATGAGGCGGGGCAGGTGGCTACTTCACACACAGGTGCACCCTGAAGGGGGAGGGGCCGGCCCGGCCCGCCCCCCACGCCCCCCCCCCAGCACAGGGGCGGGCAGTGGTGTCACAGCACCTCCCCTTCCTCCATGCTGAAGCTGCTCCTCCGGCTGCTAGCCTTGGAAGCCTCGGGCGACATGGTGGAGAAGAGGGGGTCTGAGGCCAGGGGCAGCAGGGAGTCGTCCAGAAGCATGAAGTCCAGATCCTTCCTGGACAGGCTGGGGAATGGGGGGCCATGCTCTGGCCCCAGGGGCTCGGTGTAGCCCTGGGGCCCCTCGTCAGCCCCACCCCCAAAGCTCAGGCTGTGGCTGAAGTCCAGTTGATGGAAGGGGGACTGTGGCTGGGCGGGTGGGGGCGGTGGGGCCTGCGGGGGCAGAGCGGGCAGCGTCTCAGGGTCAGGGACCTCGGCGCCCAGCATCAGGGCCTCGGCGGGGCCCTCTTCACTGGGCAGCTCCTGCTTCACCACCTGCTGGGCTAGCTCGGCCATGTTCATGCCAGACGGGGAGGTGGTGGGGAGGCCGTGTACACGTGCCTGCATCTCCAGCTCCTGCAGGCGGGGAACAGGGGAGGACAAGACAGAGGGCTGGGGCACGGCTTGCCAGGGGCCAGACTGCTGGCCTGTCCCCTGGGGGCACCAAGACCACAGAACCGGGAAGGCCCTGTAGTGTTGCTGCAGGAGGGAGAGTCCATGGTTGTACAAGTCACAACTTATTAGCAGGTTGTGAAACCACCCGGCCTTGAGTCTCCAGCAGCTTGCTCCTTTTCTAATTGAAATAGACTTGTCTAGACTAGAGCTGGGAGAGAAAGGATCAGAATGTGCTCCCTGCGTGAGGACTGACTGTTCTGTGGGACTCCATCTTTTCACTGAGCCTGCCTAGCTGCCCTGCATCTGCCTACCAGCTGTTCTACAGACCGCTGGGAAACCCCAGGACCTTGAAAAGCCGTGGGCCAACTGCACCCTTGTCTGGAGGGCCTGCCTAGAAAGCACAGACCAGAAGCCCTGCACACAAGCTAGGCTGCTGCTGGGAGGGGAGCCCCACGGCTCACCCCACTGTGTCCTGTCCTCTGTCACCTCAGCACACAGCAGGCTTTCACATTCCTGCCCCTTATGGTTAGGTGTAGTGTATACCCCACATTACCTAAGCATGAGTGACATGAAGTGGCACCTTCAGAGGGACCTGCAGCTTGTAGGGGCAGCCCCAGCAGTGCCCCGCCCCTTACACCGGCCACTCCCAGGCGCTGGGACGCCCTGACCTATCCCGACTTCTCCCTCACGGTGTCACCATTCTCCTGCTCAAGCAGGGCGAACCCAGGGGTCAGGGGACAGGTTGGGGGCCTGACCTGGATGCGGAGCCACAGCTGCTTGTTGGTCATCTCAAGGCGCCGAGAGTGGCTCTCCAGCTCCCTGGACTTCTGCAGGTCCTTCTGCATCCTCCGGATGTAGTCCACGGACGCCTTGAGGATGGTGCCCTTGTTCCAGCGCACGTCCCTGTGGCAGTGTCACACATGCAGGCTCGCGGCCACCGGGCCCCACCCTGCCTTCTCTGCCCCCCAGGGAGTGGAGGCGGCCTGCTCCTCCAGGAGGCATCACACACAACCCCACCTCGCCTCCCTCGGCCTCATCCCCCACGCAGGAGCTCCTGAGCACCCAGGGGGCTCCTGCCCTCCCTCCCCCCCGCCCCCTCGCGCCCGTATTCCCTCCCCTTCCCCCCAGTCTGCTCACAGGTCGTTGGCCTTGGGGATCAGCATTCCCAACTCCTTGATGCGGTCATTGATGTTGAACCTGCGCCTCCTTTCAACTAAAGGGTGGGGGCAGTTAGAGGTGTGGGGACCCCACCTGGAGGGCTGAATAGGGGGTGCCTCCAGCACTGTAATTAGGGGGGTGGGCCAGGAATAGGAAGACCCCTTTCCCCAGACTGTTAGCACAGCAAAGCCCCACCTCCACCACACTCATCCCAGGGCAAAACCCCTCCCACTGTGTGGACTCCACACCCTCCAGAGAAGGGTTCTGGCAGAGGCCTTCCTAGGAGCCCCTAGCCTCCCTCCCCCCACCCAAAGCACCCACCCACCCTCCAAGTGGCACCCGTGGGAGGGCTCCGCCTCTGGGCTAGGGAGCAGGCCAGGAGGGATACCGGAGCCAGCCCAGGGGATTGCATGGAGCTCCACGGGGAGAACGAACAGGGCGGGACTCACTTAGGTTGTGATTGTCTTTCTTCTGCCGCTCCTTGGCCAGGGCCCGGCTCTCAGCATCTATACCGGGGGATAGATGCAGGTGAGGGGGAGCGGGCAAGGCACAGCGGGGCAATGGGCACGGGCCGGGGAGAGGCCATTGGTACCTGTGAGCTCTCGCTTCTGGGTCAGGTCTGCGGGGCATGAGCTGCTGGTGACGCCCACCAGGGAGGCCGTGACCTGGGGGTCGCTGCTGTACACGTTCAGATGGCTGCTGGACAGGGGGAGCTGCGTGGGGAAGCACAGGGAGGCAGGAGTGGCCGGTGAGCGGTCCCCTCTCCTCCGGGAGCTCCTGACAGGTTCCATGGTCCTGAGCACTGAGCAAGCCAGGTCTGTGGAACCTTGAGCCCTGCCCTCAAGGAGCATGATGGCCGGACTGTGGCTAGGGGAGGAGGCTGAGGTGGGCCGGGAGCCATAGGGTGGGGCACCTATCTCCCTGCTGTTTAGGAGGATGTGGGACTGAGTCCAGAGGAAGATGCCTGGAGGAAGGGGACAGCCGGCCACAGGCCTGGTGCAGGACAAGAAGGGGAGGGAACCACAGCTCAAGTGACACCACTGCTGGGCCTTGGGGTTAGGCAGTGGAGGCCTAAGCAGAAGTCCACCTGGGACCGCCAGGAGCTCTGCAAACTCCTGCCCAGCTTCCACTGTAGCCAATAGCAGATGCTCTGTCCCCTACCTGTCCCCACTAGTCCCTGGGCACCAGCCAAGTATATGACCATTTTGCCCTCCTTTGCTGACCCTGTGATATGCAGATTTGCATCCAACGGGTCCCCACTGGCTTCCTGCTAACTCACCCAGGGGCTCCAGGGGCTAAGGACAGTCTGGCTCCTTGGAGGTGTGGGCTGGGAGTCAGCGTGAGATCAGGCACAAAGAGCAGGAGTAAGCAGCCCAGGTGCAAGATGCCCCCCAAGAGGGGGTAGGCACCAGTGGGTCTGCCCACTCACAGCAAAGTGCACCCTCTGTCTTGTCTCATCTCCCACACCCTGAGTCTGCAGCCAAGGAGACGGGTGCACAACAGCTGGGCGACTCCTCAAGGTCATGGTGAAAGCCAAAGGCCTCTGGATTCCCTAGGCAGTCCTGTCCCCACCTGCCCTCTGACCTCTGCCCCCCAAAGACCCAGACAGCAATGACGCTGCCAGGAGGCTGCCAGAAAGGGGCTGTGTACCCCAGGGCAAGGCAGCCTCTGGTTGCTTGCTGGGCTGAGTTAGGGACATGAGTCTTTGTCTGCTAGGCCCTGGGCTTGGGAGAGCTCCCTGGAGGAGTCCATCCGCTCCAGGACTTCCTATGGACACAGTGCTCCCCATCTGTGCTCCCCGACCAGCTTCCTGCTTCGCACAGCGTAGCCTGAGGCCATTCTTGGTCTCTGACTCTGCTGAGCCCTGAGCCTCAGGAACCATTTCTACAGAGAGACCCCAGGCCCTGGCTGTAAGGAGCTGTCCTCAACTCTCCCGTGAGTGGGTCGTGGGCCCTGCCCTCAGCAGGAGTACCGTGTTGGGCATCTGCATCTCAGGGTTGATGTAGCCCAGGACGTCATCCAGGCGCATGATGTTGTCAATGACATCATCGAACTGCAAGACAGAGAGGTCCACCTCAAGATGAGCCAGCCACAGGGATCTCAGAGCCACCATGTGCAGCCTGCTGCTTTTGGGGAAGAGCTGACGAGCTGTCCACCACCCGTAGGCCCCAGGAAGGCCAGGGCTATTCCCAGGGGGCCCACCTGCCAGGGGAACTCCCCTGCTACACCTGCTGACTGCAGCTTTGCCCACTGCTGAGCTGCCCGGGAGGGGTGCTCTTTCCCTCCCACATAAGGCCTTGTTGGACCAGGCTGTGTCTCCCCGCGACCCAGACAGGGGTTCCCTGAGGACGGAGCTGTGTTTCCCCTGCTCAGACTAGATTCCCAAAAGCAGTGTCCCTCCCCCAGCTAGAATGGGAATGTCAAGAGCATGAGCCATGGTGCCCCTCACTTACCTCTTTGTCAGGGTTGGAGCTGATGTGCAGCATGGCCATGGGGCTGTTGGGGGCACTGTTGCCAGCAGAAGTGGACAGCACATGTCCCGCCCGCACCCCAGGGGAGGCAGCCGGTGGGGGCTTTGGGGAGCCTTGAGCAGGGCTTAGGTGGGCGGCAAACTTGTTCCCATAGGTCTCGGACAGGTACTCGCGCACCTTCTGGTGCTGTGACTGCTGCAGGTGGTAGGAAGTGGGGTTCTCCAGGTAGGACTGCACCTGGTGGGGGAGGAGAAGGCAGTGGCTCTAGGGGGAGCCTGGTACCCGAGCAGCTGGGGAGGCAGGGAGCAGGCCCTACCTTCAGCACCTCGCCTGGCACAGGCGGTGGTGACTGGAAGTGGACAGGGGTGTTGATGGCGGGGGTGGGCGGCGCTCCCAGCTGCTGTTGCTGCTGCTGCTGCTGCTGCTGCATGTAGTGCATCACAGCCTGCTGCTGCATGCGCTCCCGCTGCTCCTCCTGCTGCGCCTGCTCCCGCATGAGCTGCATGCGCAGCCCGATGCGAGACGCCATGGCGGCTGCTGGAGCTGGCTCCCTGCAGAGGAGGCGGACAGGTGTGTGAGATCCCTGGAAGGGACCAGGACTAGTCAGGTAGACAGGGGACCCTGTCTACCTGAGTAGGGTAGAACTGAGGGGGCGGGGGGGCGGAAGAGGGACCAGCTCCAGGTCACGGAGCAAGGCACAGAGTCCAGCTCCCTGATGGCTGGCCTGTCTCTCCTCCTCTCTCATTGCTGGCGATTGGCCACAAGCAGTTGGCCCACCTTTTTTGGTGCCATGGTTCCATCCTGGTACAGTCAGGCCCACAAGAAGTGAGTGAGTGACGGGGTGGGGACTGCTGATGAACCAGCCCAGTTTCTGCCCTGGTTGGGTTGGGAGGACCTCTGGATACTCAGCCTCCCTCCTCCTGTCTTGCCACATGGGTATCTGACTTGTGGTCATCGCACACATTCTGCTAAAACCTTGGTCAGGTCCTACTCCCCGCCTCTGCTCGAAACTCTCCATGGCTCCAGCTTTCCAGTAAAAGCTCAAGTTGTCAAGAGGCCCGAAAGGCCCTGGTGACCTGCCCGCACTGCATGTTCCCCTTCAGCCTCTTTCCCCTGCTGTCTCCCTGGTCCCACCTGCTCTGGCCACACCTGCCCGCCTCTTTGCAATCCCTCCATGCCCCAGGCCTCTGGATCTTGTCTGGGCTGCTCCCTCTGCCTGGCAGCTCTTAACCAGAGACCCTCACAGCTCACCTCTTCACTCCCCCTCCCAAGACACCAATGTCAACGTGGTCATCCCCACCACCGTATAAAAACTGTGAACCTTCTATTCCTGCCTCCCTGCCCCGACTCATGCCACTTGCCCTCTACTTTTCTCCATGTCACTTATCACCCTTTTTAAATAGCCCACATTTCTACTCAGTTGCCTCTCACCCACTGGAATGCAGGCTGCCCTGAGGGCAGGCTCTTTGCCTGTGCAGTTCAGTGCACCTCCGGCTCTGGCCGAGGGCTGGGGACTGGCCCACAAGAAGTGAGTGAGTGAAGGGGTGGGGACTTCTGATGAACCAGCCCAAGTGCTTTAGCCTTCCAGGGCCCCTGTAGGGTCTTTGGGGGGCAGGTACTGTGACACCCAGGCCCAGGATGAGGGGGCTAAGTGTCCTGTGGTGGAAGGGACACAGCTGAGAACCCATCCTTAGCAGTGGCCTCCAAGCCCAGGCTAGGGACACAGAGCTAGGACAAGGCTGCTTCCAGGCTATGGGGTCAGTGGGTCGTGGCCAGGAATGGGGACCAGTAGGAAAGCACGCAGGACATGAGGATGGGCAGCCTCACCTCCTCATCCTTCCTTCTCTGTCCCTGGGTCATGCTGAAGGGACTGCCTTGGTCCCAGCGGTCGCTCTCAGCCAGGCAGTCCCTCAGGCAGCAAGGAGCAGGTGCCCCTCCCCCTCCTCCATACGCAGCTGCAGCCCACACTGACCTCTTCCCAGGGCCACCACAGAGAGGTGGGCCTATCTGCCACCCTCACGGCCACCACACACACTGGCCCCACAGACCTGCAGGCGCCCACCCCACTGCCTGGCAGCTGCACCCTACACACCCACTGTACCCCCAGAGACAATCTGGCTTCAGTTGGCCCTGGTGGAGGAGGGGTGGGCTGGGGCCTGGCAGTGCCAGCACAGGGCGGGCTAGGGGAGAAGGAGCCCCTTGTCTCTCTGACAAAGGCCTGGGCGCAGGGCCTGACCCGGGCCTGAGCTGGCTTTGCCGTGAGAGGACCTGTACTGGGCCCTGCTTGGCCTCTCATCAGCTCTGCTGGCCTCAGTTCTCGTGTCTGTAAAATGGACGTGGGACTTCCACCCCAGCAGCTGGGTGGCAGGGCAGAGGATGGCTGTTTGGAGGACATCCGGGCCATGGTAAGCGAGCCTGGTGGCTTTGCGTATGGTCTGGGTGGGTGCAAGGGGAGGGACTGGTAGGAATGTGAGGGTAGATACACTGGGCATGCTCACCCCCAGCAGCCTCAGCTCCCCATGCACCTGTTCACACACAAGCCCAGGGACCACTTCTAGCTCTCCTGGCACCGTGATTTACCAGGAAGAACTGACAGGAGGGACAGGGGAAAGACAAAGTGCCCGAGCCACTCCCCCTTCCATATCCAGCCAGCCAGAGCCACCGTGCCAGGAGGCCAGGACTGGGCTGGGGTAGTTCCCTGCCCACCTCCCCAGGACATACTGGTCTTGCTGGGGTCTGAGACCCTGGGGAATCCCCTCCCCCAGGCTTAGGGGCATGGCTGTTTCCCACCACTGCTGCCCTGAAACCTGCCGGATGCCCATGCCTCTGCCCAGCCTGAGTCTCAGCCCCAGCCTTATTGTAGCAAACTGAGCTTTCTAACCAAGACTCTGCCCCTGTTGGCTCCATGTCTTCAAAAGTCACTCACCCTCTCTGTGCCTCACCTCCCTGCACTTGCTGTGAAATGGAACCTCGTGTACCTGCCCAGCAGGGCCACTGTGAAGACCCAAGGAGGCCTGGGGAGTGTGTGGAGACCCTTAGACCGCCAAGGACAGGGGGATGTGGTTCTCCCGTCAGAGCTGCATCCAGGCAGTCGCCTCTCCATCAGTCATATATGGCTTAGTGTAAACTGGGGAAGAGGTGGACAGAGAGAAAGGAGGGGGATGGGACTTGCTGGACCTCACCAGGACCCCAGAGCAGAAAGTCTCTGGAGGAGAAGAGGTTTCAAAGATAAGAGCAGGAAAAGAAACTGTGGAATAAAGCATGCAGTCCAAGCCTGTCTGCCATAGGCCAATGGGAAACAGAGGCCCAGCCCCCTACCTGGCCCCGAGGCCAGCCCTGGATGCAAGCCTCTAGAGGGGCAGCCCTTCCCACAGTGCCCCTGCAGGTGCTCCCGGCTGAGACAGCTCCAGTCCACAGGGATTCTGTGTTGTCCTGCAGACTTTACTGCCTTCTGTCAGACCTTTTAAAAACTAGGGCGAGCCTGGCTTCGGCCTGGCCCAGTCCTGCCATTACAGGCATTTAGGGGGTGAATCGGCAGATGGAAGGTAGCTCGCTCTCTGTCTTTTGAAGTAAATAATCTTTAAAATACAAAAATGGGGCCAGTGCTGTAGTAGAGTGGGTTAAGCCACCCCCATATGCACACCAGTTCAAGTCCTGGCTGCTCCACTTCCCATCTAGCTCCCTGTTAATGCTCCTGGGAGAAGCAGCAGAGGATGGCCCAAATGCTTGGGCCCCTACACCCACGTGAGAGACCCAGATGGATTGCAGCCTTTGGAAGAATAAACCAGCAAATGAAAACTTCTCTGTCTCCTTTACTCTCTCTGTGATACTGCCTTTCAAATAAGTGAAGTAAATACACAGCACCTATGCCATCTACTCTAGTCCTGCTTCTCTGTCCCACAGCAAAGCTCATGAGTGTTCAGCAAAGGCCATGGCCTGGAGGGCTCACAGCCGCCCAGCCTGGACACAGCTGCTGTACATTCAAGACGAGGGCTGGGGAGAAGAGGCTGTGGTTCGTCCACACAGCAGAACACAAAGACAGCAAGCGACCACTGCAGCTCTCACAGTCCCGTGCCAACAGCAAAAGTCAGACACCAAAACACACAGTTCACGCCATGTGTGGATATACAGCTTACAAACGGGCAAGATGATCCTACTGCACCAGAAGCCAGGGTCCTGGCTGCCCTCAGGGCAGTGCTTGGGAGGGGAGCAGGTGACTTGGTGGGAAGGGGGCTGAGGAACCGTTTGTAACCTGAGCTGAGTGTTAGTCACATAAAGTTTACCATAATCACCATAGGGGTCTTATTCTTTCATCAAAAAGGCCAGGTAAAAAAGTGACAACATCTTATATAGCTGAAGAACCTAATAGGGCAGGCATTGTGAGGCAGCAGGTGTCTTGCCCAAATGCTTTGGCCCCAACACCCCCGTGGAGGACCCAGATAAAGCCCCTGGCTCCTGGCTTTGGTCTGACTTAGCCCCTGCTCTTGGGGGATAACTGGGAAAGCAATCAGTGGGTGGAAGATTTCTCTGTCTCCCTGTCACTACCTTTAAAATAAATCAAAAACAAATCAAAACAAATGGAGGTAAGTAAATTATCTTTAACAATTCCACCTCTCTCCCAAAAATGTCTCCATGGTTTTAAAACATGTTTGGTACCAAGAACCTTAATGTAACTGCCAGCACATCCCTTGGTACAACCTCTTTGTAAAAGTAATTTGGCAAAAATGTGTCAAAGCCTTAAAAAAAAAAGTAGCCCAAAAAAGGAATTTTAAATGTAGAGGTATTAATGCATAAAAGGAATCCTAAATGCAGAGGTTATTAATGCATAAAGATACCCTTCACATTATATAGAGAAAAGGCAAGGTTACATCAATACAATTGTAAAGAGTAAACTAGAATAGATAAATTGCAGTGTACTCATTCTGATGGAGGGCTCTGTTTACAACACAACATGAGGCTTGTGTCAAGTGATTAAAAGTAGGGTGCTAAACCGCACAATCTGATCGCCACCATGTACAATGCAGGGACCTGGCGCAATGGCTCAGTGGCTAAATCTTCACCTTGCACGCACCAGTATCCCACATGGGTACCAGTTCATACCCCAGCAGCCCCACTTCCCATCCAGCCCCCTGCTTGTGGCCTGGGAATGCAGTGGAGGATGGTCCAAAGCCTTGGGACCCTGCACCCATTCTAGAAGAACCACCTGGCTCTTGGCTTTGGATTGTCTCAGCTCTGGCCATTGCGGCCACTTGGGAAGTGAACCAGTGGATGGAAAATCTTTCTGTTTCTCCTCTTCTCTGTAAATCTGACTTTCTAAAAGCAAATCAGACTTAACAGAAAAAAAGTAGAGACATAGGGAAAGATTTTCCATCCACTTGTTCACCCCCCAAGTAGCAGGGAGCTGGATGGGAAGTGGAGCATCAGGGACACAAATCGGCACCCATATGGAATCCCAGAGTGTGCAAGGTGAGGACTTAACCACTAGGCTACCATACCAAGTCCCAAATAAATAATTTTTTTTAAAAAAAGATTTTCATTGCAAAATCAGATA